CCAGCACGCAGAGTGGACTCAAGACTGGGTGAACTCAGTATGGGTCAGGCCCTAAACTACATCAGCGGTTTCCAATGCAGGCTCAGGAAGGATATTTTTACATAGCTTGGGGTTGTAACAGCATCCACCTCTGCTGGCCCCTGTGACCTACCAGCCTGGCTTTCCTGTGGCTGTGCTCCAGTGGTTTCTTGTTTCCCACCAGGTAGTTGAGCGTGGCGTACTCCATGAGAGCGGCGAAGACGAAGATGAAGCACACAGAGACGAAGAGGTCCATGGCTGTGATGTAGGAAACACGGGGGAGGTGCTTGCGGGAGATGGTGCTCAGGGTGGTCATGGTGAGCACAGTCGTGATACCTGAGAGAGAAGACAGCTGGCCTAAGTACTGACAAGGAGTACATCTGTCTTCTCCAACCCCTCAGAACACCCCCATTTTCCCTCTACTCTGGTTGTCTCGTCCCATTTTGGCTCTGCTCAGCCAGACTCTGGTCTTGAGGAACCCTCTGACAATGCTCTATGAAAAATAATGATGTTCAAAACTCAGGTATCACACAGACCATCAATGTGGACTGGTAAATGAGCAGGAAACTCAGACTCTACATGAGGCTGGGCTGGTCAGGCAGGGCTTGCCCTCACCTCCTGTCCTCCATGTGCCTCGGCACAGCTTCTAGAAGGATCTGTTCCACGATCTTTCCAGGCACAGAGGGGAGGCTGATAGGTCTGTAGTTCCTGAGGTCCTCCTATCTACCCTTTGAAAAAATGGGTGCAATATTTCCCCTTTTCTGGTTACTACCATGACTTTTCAAGGCTTGGAAACCACATCAGCCATACACGGGGATGTATCTTGTCAGGTCCCACACACGTATGGATGTTCAGGTTCTTCAGGTGGTCTCAAAGCTGCTATTCTCTTGCAGTGACAGCGACTCTCCTGCTCCAGTCCCTGTCTTGCAGTCCACCCACTGTGGAATGTGGGGAATGAGGCTGCCAGTGAAGACTGAGGCAAAAAAGTACCTCAGCCTCCTTCTCATCAATTTTTACCAGTTTGCCAGTTGTATTCAACTTGCTTTGACCTTCCCTTTTGGGCTGACAAATCTGAAGAAGCCCGTGTTAGTATGCTCTGCATCCCTAACCCCATCCCTACACAACTGGGATTGTCCCTGTACTCCTTCCTGGATACCTGGCCCTGCTTCCACTGCCTGTGCATTTCCTTCTGACCAGAAGCTCTTGACACATCCATGCTGGTCTCTTGCCTTCCTTTCCTGATTTTTTACACCTGGGAATTGAGAGCCCTTGTGCTCTTTGGAAAATGTCCTGAAAAATCTGCCAGTGCTGTTCTGCTCCCTGGTCATCAGCCTGCCCTGTAGTAGATACCAACCAAAGGTTCCCTTTATTTCTTTGGTCTGATTCCATAAATTTCAAATCTGCTCCTGGCTATTCTTCAGAGACAGCTCTTCACAATCTATCCGTTCCTTGATGCAGAGGGCAAGTGCGTAGGAGGTGATAAAGAATTTCTTTTGACATGAGTGGGGCTTGCAATTGTTTTTGCAGGAGCAGCAGTGCTCACGTTTCTGCTTCCACTGATGAAGTGTCAGGAGCCAACAAAGGATCAGCTACAGGAGCTGGTCCTGTGATCTCATCCACTGATTTTCAGGATGATTTCAGGATGATTTTCAGGGGAAGAAGCAGGAAGTCCACCTGTTTCTCCTCTAGCATCCACCTACATCCACCTGGCACCCTTTCCTGAGGTCACCTCAGTGGCTCTGGGGGTGAGCATGGCAAAAGGTTTTCATGTTTTCCTGCCATACTTGCATTAGCAGATGTGATGTGACTTCCCATGTTTTTGGAGTGCCAGTGGAACTGGTCCAGTTGTCCAGTTTACATCTCCCTAATGTAGGCTGGCAGGCTCAAAATGTGCTGGGGATCATTTGTATTAAGTACAACAGGGGCTGTGGAGAGAATACGTTATTCTTCATGGCTGTAGTCCCTTTCCACAGAGAGGGGCTCCTCTCCTGGGGAAACTTGCCTTTGTCTTTTGAGACAGTCACTAGAGTCGTGCACATTTTCCTCTTGCTGTTCATTCCTTTACCAGCCACAGACTACGGCACACCCTCACCTTCATTGGAAATGACACCCTCCTCCTCCTCCTCCTCCTCCCTCCATGAGTACCAAACTAATTAATTTTGAGAGGGAGGTGGGGAGACATGGCCATCATGGATGGGCTCTGAATAGCTGATGGCCCCTCCTCTCCTCTCCATCCCCACAGAGACCTGCAGGCAGGGCTCGGAATGCTACCTCCAATTAAAGACAAAGTCAGCAGGGCTGATAGGAAGGACAGCACTGGGAATCACAGCTTGCTGCAAAATGCAGATACAGCCAAAAAGTACTAAAGACTGCAAAGATGTCCCCAGCACCCATCAGAGCAGCATTCAATCAACAGAAGTGTGCCTCCTGCCTCAAGGAGCCACTGCAGTTTGCTGAGAAAATCTAAACAATAGGCAGAGCTGTTGTCATTCTCTGGGTCCTTTGGGGTGACGGACAGAAAAAGGTTGTACCTACAGGGCTTCCAGCTCCTGCCAGAGTCTGGGGCCCTGTGGATGCAGCCAAGCAACTTTGCCCATTAACCCTACAACCTTCCTGTCAGCAATCTTACACAGAAGCCTTGAGAAGTTGTGAGGAAACATGGAAAATGTGCATGTGACAGGAGCCCTTTGGGCAGCACTGCAATGCCACAGCTCAGCCCCTTTCTCTCCCTTTTGGTGCATGAGAATATCCCACTGTCAGCTTGGAAAAGTGTTGCAATGTATTTGCAAGGGTTAGACCATAGTGTGCACCAGCCAGCCTACTTCTGAGTTTGTTATCAAAACCTCAAGAATTCGTCAAGACTATTTAGAACAAAAATTGTGCTAGATTAAGAAAGAAGAGGCTGAGAAACCAAATACCAAGACCACAAGAACTGGATAACAGAAGACTGTAAGACACCTAGACTGTAACCAATCATATACTCCAAGAAATACAAACAGAAAACGAGTGAACAAGACAAAAGCACCAATCAAAAAGTGTGTACTTAGTAGTTTATAAAATCTATAAATATATGCATAATGTAAACAATAAATGGCTTCTACTTAATAATATTAATCAATTGTTCAAAAGTCCTAGATTTCCCACAGAAAAGGCTGTGCTTGGGTTTCAGATGAAGCCATGAGAATGAGGTGCTCTCCTGAGGCAATCCAGCAGCTCATGCCAGCACAGCTGGAGATTTGGTTGAGCTGTGGAGTGTTACACACATGTAGCTGAAGGAGTGGAATATTCTCTGGTAAGCTCAAAAATGCCAGAAAATGGGAAAGTGCTTCAGGAGATTTTGTAGTCCAACACTGCCAGTCTTCTTGCCTGGCAGAGTTTGACAAGCATCAGACATGCATCATCCTGTCTCTTACCCAGAGATGTCCTGGCTGGCGTAGAGTCTCTCTTGATCCAGAAGGAAACCCAGGAAAGAACAACAGTCAGGATGCAGGGAATGTAGGTCTGAATGGCAAAGTAACCCATACGTCTGCTTAGGTCAAAAGAAACTGTCATCACCATGTACTCCCCTAGGAAAAAGCAACAGACATTGGCATCATAACATGAGTCTTCCTAAAAAAAACAGAAAAATCAGCAAAGTTTCAGAATTTGGAGTTTCTGATGAGGCTTTCTCATTGCTTTAAGTGCCTGTCCATCTGGTTTTGTAGCTGCCCAGATTGTTAACTTCACGTGGCTGGCTGACTAGGTTTGGTGACTCTGGTTTTCTTACTAGTGGATTCTGTGGCTACATGGCTGCCTCTGTAGCTGTCCTGCTAGATGTCTTTGTGACTAATTTAAGAGCTGACTTTGTGGTTGCCCAACTGGCTGTTTGCCTGGCTCTCCATATGGCCACCAGGCTGCATTTGTACTGGCCTGGCTAAGGACACTGAAAAGCACACAGTTTGGAAAAGTTTCAGGGAAGGAACTGCAGACAGCATTTATCTTCAGCTGATTGCTGTGAGGGTTTCTTTTCTAGAGAAGCTCTTTGGCTGTAACAGGCTGCATGGCCTGGCTTGCTAACGAACTACCTGAGCTGTGACAAAGGAGGTGTCCTTCAATCACTTCCACTGAGAGTCTGGTTCTGCCTCTGGAAAAGGCATGTGGTGCTGTACATCCTAATTGCTCATTTGGCAACTTACAGTGGCGACTCTTCCTTTTTTCAGAGGCTCACAGTGAGTATTGGAAAAAAGCCACCTGACAGCTCTGGGGTTAACATGGAGCTTGCAAGCAATTACCAAAAAAAGAGAATTACAAACATCAGAGGGCCACTGGTGCATTCAAGACACTTTCAATTCTTGTCCCAGTTTGTGCTGCCTTTCTACCCTGGCTGCCACAGTTGAGAGCAGCAGCTTCCTGAAGAGTGGGAGAAGCACTGCTCCTGGCTGTTTCAGAGGGCTGAAAACTATGAGCTCACCCCACCTTCAGGAATCCAGAGGCTTTCCTCAGTTGTCAGGGAAGGAAAGGGGTTGTGAGCTATTATGAGAAGGAGGAGGAGGAGGAGCTGAAGGGCCTCCATTATTTAGTTTCTTCACACATGCAGCCTTGTCCCTGTCTCTTAAAGCACAGTTCAGGTGTTCATCAGCCTAACATGAGTTTACAGAAGGAAAGATTGAGACCTGCAAGTTCTGATTTCTCCACCCCCGTTCCAATCATAAGCATCACCCAGAGATTACACAGTGTGCACACACTGCAACAAGAGGGGATTTAAGTTCTCTCTCGTCTCCTTCCTGACCCTTCAATTAGGGATAGCTTCATTCACATCAGCATTGTCACCCCACAGTTCACAGATGTCAATGGTTCTGGTCTCTCCTTGCTCCACCTTCCCCTCACCCTTCATCTCTATCACTTCTGCAGCCTCTAGCCAAGATTCATCCCTTCATTTTTTAGCTTTTTTCTCTGGCCATGCTGTTGTAACCTCCCTTCCCCACTCCTTTGCCTCTCACCAGGTCTCAGTGGTGCTCCTGCGGGCTGCCTCCCTTTGCCTCACCTGCCCCAGTCCTGAGGACTTCCGAGGTGTTCCTCAGCCCTGTGAAGTCGAACTGGTAGAGCCTCCAGGTGCGCTGGTCAGAGACCTCGATGGAGTAGCGTCTCCAGCGATAGACGATCTCCTCCCGAGGGTATCCATCTGGGAAAATCCATCCGTGCAACAGTGTTGTGGTGTGATGCCACGGTTTGCCTCAGTTACCCTGGGTTTCTCCCTGAAGTTTCCCTCCCAAGTGTGTCAATCACCTCTCCTTCCCCCACCCAGACCCCTGCCGGGCACTGTCTGTCAGTCCTGGAATTCCAGAAGGGCGTGAGTTGAGTGATTGGGCAGATTCAAAAGGTGCCCTCCACCCCTGGGGGGCATTGGGCCATCCAGGTGTCCTTTGTCCCTTGAGACCTCCTCTCCCGTACCTGGTTTGTGGTCCCCCATCCCTTCCCTGCTCCCCTTCCCCAGGTAAAAGGATGGGCAACCACGCGGTCTGGGAGTTCTGTTGGAGCTGTTGCTGGATTCAGAGGCCTGTGGGCCAGAATAAAAGCTCTGGATTGAAACTCTCCATCAGAACCGACTCCTTCCTTCACCATCGCCTTAGAGCTTCTCCGGCCCAGGGAACCTGAAGAGCAGAGCCTCCACGGGAGGAAGCTCCATCCTGCCTCCACCGGAGCTCCGGCATGCCTGGACTTGCCTCAACGTGCCCAGTGCAACTCACAGCTAGCCAAAGGTGTCTCTGGGGTGAAACACCACAGTTGCTGCTATTTGGTTCAGCAGCACGGCCAGACAAGCCAAGGCATGTCCCATTCTGCAGTATTGGTAAATACCAATACAACAGAATGCCATGTAGCCCCACCTCGGGCACCACCCTGACTGCAAAAGCACGGGCATCTCACCAGAGCTGTTCTGCAAACACCAGCCCTTCAGCAGGTGTTTCTGGTGTCTTTTGTTTAGATTCCCTGAGGCATTCCCACATGGAATGGGTGTAGGGACTGCATCTCCCCTCGTGGGCTGCTTCAGATCCTGGGGATGGGGAAGGCACTGCCAGAAACAAGGCACTGCCAGAAACAAAGCACTGCCAGAAACAGAGCCCTTCTAAGGACTGCACTGCTGGGAATGAGATATGGGTTGGTCCAAGAGGACTCTGTTGGTTTGAGGAAGAACTTGTTTGAGGGTGGCAAATGAAACAGTGTGCACAGGGGGGTTGTGGAGTCTCCCTTCCATGATTCTGGAGTCATAACTCTGGATTCAAAACCCCACCTGGCTGCATTCCTGTGTAACCTGCTCTAGGTGACGCTGCCTGCCAGTGGGACTGTCCTAGAAGATCTCCAAAGGCCTCTTCCAGCCCTGACTCGTCTGTGATTCTGTGACTCCACCAGCCTGAAATCTTTAAGGGTTTTAGCTCCCTGGGGCAGCTGGCACCTCATGAGGACCTTCCCAGCCATGAGTACACCAGGAATACAAAGCTGCCAGCATGGCTCTGGCTGCTCTGTGTGCTCCCTGTACCTCTTGCCCTGGGAGCTGATCTATGGAAAAGAAGGGGTGCACTCTCCATGGAGAAGAAAACCTGGTCCTGCAGGCTGCAGCACAGCTTCTCCTGCCTCTGGCTTTCTTGATAAAGAAACAAGCCTGCTGTTGAAGCTGGGACCTGGGAGAAAGTCCCTTGGATGGAGTAAGAGCTTGGCAGCTAACTAACAGTGTGTTTCTAATTATCAAGCATGTACAGCATGCATCACTAATTAGCAAAGATGAGGGGTGGTGGGAGATGAAGGGATGAGATCTCCTCAGCATGCTGCCTCCTTCTGAAGCACCTCAGAGCTCTGAGCTGCATCTCTTCAGTGGCAGGGGAAGCAGGAGAACCCAAGCTCAGATGATTAAATCAGATTTCCCACCCACGCACGAGGACAGGGATCTCTTGGTGCAGAAAGGCTTGCTGCAAAATTACCAGAGGAGATGTGGTAACATCAGAAGCCCTCCCTGCTGAAGAGTCTAGATGAGTAGTGACTGAGAGGTCTGAGTAACCCTCCTTTGGAACAGAATGTTTCCAGACCTCACTCAGAGAGTGGGAGAAAGGGGAAAATGCAAGGCAGGACGAGTGCCATTTGTCCACCAAAATATATCCATATTCTGTCTGGAGTGACCAGAAGGTCAGTGAAATAATCTCCTCCAACCATCCACCCAAATTAAGGAGAAACTCAGAGATGTTGTGAATCTGTCCCTGATGACCTCTGCCAGCCCAGGAGTGGGAGGATGCTTCAGACCATGAAAGGTAATGGGTCAGGAAGAGGGCCATAGAAATTAGGTGAAAAAATGTAGCTAAAAGGGAGGGTGGTTTCCCCAGAAAAGTATTACTCCACTGAGGTTTCTCTGCTCACTTCAAAAGCTATATTTGAAATATGTATACTCACAACTGGAAAAAACCAAAGGGCAGGAGTGAGTGTCCATTGGGAAATTCTGCAGCTGGAGCAGACATTCAGCCTCGATTGTCAGCCTGAGACAGGGGAAGAGAGAAAGAAAGAGATTTTGAGCTGGTGAAGATGGTTTGATTCCAACACCTAAATGTGACAGAGGCATTCTCACTTCCTTGAGAACTAATTTGCTGAAGATCAGTCTGTTTGCAGGAACATTCCAAACCAAAAATATATGTTTGGGTATTTTCAAGGTGAGGAAAAACATGTAAGTTTCACCTTCAAAAAGCCCTTCTGTTTAGTCAACTTTTCAGATCCATTTATGAAAGTGAGAAGTTATGGGAACAAACAGCCAAATGTTTATTAACAGCATAAAACAGCTGGACTGACCAAGACAACATTTAAAGGATTTTAGTTTAGGGAACCACTTGACCATCTCTTTGTTCCCTCCCCCCCAGCAGAGGCTGCTGGATGTACCTGAGAGTGTAGAGCACTTTTCCATCATTCCAGATGCGGAGGAGCTGGTTGGGAGTGGTTATCCAGTGGGAATCAGCCCGTTTGGAGTTCCTGAAGAAGGTGTCAGGGATCCAGATGCGGCTCACCATGTTGGTGTTCAGCGTCAGCGCCTTCAGGGTGCTGTTGAACCGCAGGCGCCGGTCGTACCACGTCTGGGCAAAGAAGATGTCAATGGTGTATTCCTGGGAAGGACAGGGAAGAATGGGATGTTCTGAGAGGGATTCAGGCCACGCAGAGCCTGCTTCTCTGGTCTGCAGGCAGGCACAGCCAGAACATTTATTTTCTCAGTCTGGGAGCAGGTGTTGATGGCCTCTGACACCTTTCCAGGCTCACCAGTAGCTCATGGCCAGGACATCTGTGGCACACTCAGGAAGAGCCAAACTCTGTGTTTACTGCTGGGCTGAGCCCGGCCCTTGCCTGGAAAACCAGGACCATACAAACAAGACCTTGGGCTTCCTCTTGACAGACAACTCAATACTCCTTTTAAGCACAGGCATGAAGGGGCAGTGTAGATGTTGGCTGAATCCAGCCCTAAGTTCAGCTCCACCTTTCAGTCACAGGGAGGGAAAGCTGCTTCCCAGCTGAACAGAGAAGGCAAGCAGACAGCCCTTTCTGTTATTTATTGAGGTACAACCCAGACCTGTTCCACACACCTAATTTGTACACAGGGCAATAGTAGTGCTGTGCATAAATCTAGTGACAATCCACCTCTTGCTACAGCACTTAAACTGCAAAGGGTTCATATGAAAACTCAGAGCACTCTGGGTCCTTGGGTGGATACCCCTTGCTGGAGATTAGAAAAGAAAGCTGGGCCTGCATGGTCCCAGCTCTGGGTTAAAAAATCCTGAGACTTTCACTGACAGAAAAGAGATTTTCGACTATAATAAGGACCTCCAGTTTTGGTAAGAGAGCGTGTCCTAGCTCATGGATAACTGGCAGCTCTGAGAGGCAGCTCCTGCCTGGATTGGACTGGCAGTAGCCCACACCATTAGCCCACCACTCTGCTGCTCACTGCTGCAACTCAAGTTTGCTCCTTAAACTCTTTTTCATCCTGCCTGAGAAGGTGCTAATTAATGCCATGCAGGAACAAGTCTGGCACTCAGCAGCTGTCTGAACCAGACCCCAGATCCAGTTCCACCAGCGCATGCTGCAGTCAGTCACCTGCTCCTGGTAGCTCCTGACGTGACTTTTGGTCCCTTTCACTCCTGTTGAACCTGCACAACCCCCATTGCCTCCCTCTCTTTTGTGTGCAGAGCTGAAGAAAGTCTGACTTTGCCATCCCTCCCTCTCACTCTCCTCCTCCCTCTATTGATTTATCTCGGTGGAATTTTTATGACTGCAGCACATCCTCCCCGCGCTGCCCTCGCTGCTGGTTGAGAGCCGGCTCCTCCAGCCCTGCTGCTAAAATAGCTGCAGTACTCCCTCGGACAGCGTGTCCTGTGCGGGGCAGGCAGGGCAGGGCCCCACTCCAGCCTCCTGCCCTGGCAGCCAACAGACAGGAGTGATGGGTCCCCAGCACGTCCCTTGCACAGGAATGAGATGGGGAGGAAAGAGCTTTTGCCATCAGGCAGCCGAGTCACTCTCCAGGCTGATGCTCCACCCTGGTTAGACCTGGTGATGCTCACCCTGGGGATCAGCAAAGGTGGCAGGGTCCTAAGGGATGTCCAAGTGGGGAGAATGGGGACAGGTGCAGCACGTCCAGAGGGGTGATTTTGTTTCCACAGTTCATTCAAAGCAGACATGAGCAGACACAGAGTTAAGGACAGCAGCAGCCCTCACGACCAAGTGCACGGGCATGGCCACTGCCCAGACCCAGGGGGCTGGGAGAGCCCATCCCAGCACCTGAATGTGCTGGATCACACCGGGTACTGCTCAGATACAGGGTATGTGGTGATGGAGACATGTAAAAATGTGAAATAAAAGTAGCACTGTCACAGCACTGGGGCCAAAATAGCACAATATTTGACATATTCTCCCCCATCACTGCACACCCTGTTTGAGTTCATGTGAGTTTACATAGCTCCTCCTAAGTAATATCTCTGGTGTAGGAGAAAGCCTACAACTGAACCAAAACTGCAGTGATAAATTCCTTTTAGATGTCACTATCAGTGTTTCACTCCCAACTGGAGGCACTGGTGACATCTCACTTCTGGGCTGGCTGCTCAGTTGTGTCCTGCCTTAAAG